ATAGATAGAATAGATAGATAGAATAGATAGATAGAATAGATAGAATAGAATAGATAGATATATAGAATAGATAAAAAGGTAGAAGAGAGAATAGAATAGAATAGAATAGAATAGAATAGAATAGAATAGAATAGATCAAGGGTCTTCAAACTTGGCAAGTTTAAGACTTGTTGGGCTTTAACTCCCAGAATTCCTGAGCTAACATGACTGGAGGAGGAATTCTGGGAGTTGAGGTCCACAAGTCTTAAAAGCTGTCCACGTTCGAAGACCCCTGGTTTGGAGACCCTGGCCCTAAGTTATAGAAAAGTCATTTCGACTTCGGCATTAGAAATGCACTTCCCAACTTAAGCACCCCCAGCTGGGAAAGTGCCTCTGGAGGGTTTTCTCTCTTTTATATATATATATATTTTATCCCGCTTTTGTTACTCTTACAATTAACTCAGGGGGACAAGCATTGCTAATATGCCTTCCTATTTTCCCCACAACAACAACCCTGTTAGGTGGATTGGGCTGAGAGAGAGTGATTGGCCCAAAGTCACCCAGTTGGCTTTCATGCCCAAGGTGGAAATAGAACTCACCACCTTCTGGTGATGGGCCCAAAGTCACCCAGTCTAAAGGCAGAACTAGAACTCACTGTTTCCTGGTGATGGGCCCAAGGCAGAACTAGAACTCACTGTCTTCTAACAATTGGTCCAAAGTCACCCAGCTAGCTATCATGCTTACAGTGGACCTAGAACTCACCATCTCCTGATGAGGGACCCAAAGTAACCCAGCTTAAGACAGAACTAGAACTCTTTGTCTCCTGGTGATGGACCCAAAGTCACCCAGACTTAAGACAGAACCCGAACTCACTGCTTTCTAGCGACTGGTCCAAAGTCACCCAGCTGGCTTATCATGCTTAAGGTGGACCTAGAACGCACCGTCTCCTGGTGATGGGCCCAGCCAGCTATCATGCCTTAATGCAGAACTAGAACTTACCATCTCCCGGTTCTAACCTGGAGCCTTCCCAACTAGACCAGACTGCCTCTCCTTTGAACTTCATTAAAACGCCAGCCGTTTCTGCTGCTTCTGCCTCTCTCCCCCTTCCGCTGATCCACTTTGGGCCTCAGTTCCCTATCAGCGAAATGGGAATATTACCCCCCCCCCTCAGAATCTTCCTCCACCAGCGACTCTTTCTTTTTTTTTTAAAAGGGCTGCAATGTTAAAAGTGTGCATGGTAAATTCTAAGTAAATATTGCCCATAGCCAGAGGAAAAGTATGTGTGTCTGTCTGTCTGTCTGTCTGTGTGTGTGTGTGTGTGTGTGTGTGTGTCTGTTTCCATTTGCACACCTCCTTCTCTACCCCCTAGTTTTGTATCTCATTTTCACATTA